GAGTCATGCGTTCAATCAATACTCACTTCAGTGTCGCGTTGTTTCTGAAGAGTAGTCATCGTATGAGTCGGCGGTTGTGGTGGTAGTGATGGTCACCACAAGTGAGCGTCACTTCAATTGATCCCAAGAAGTGATGACAAAAACACAACAAAATCACGAATCGATGGAAAGAGTCGTCGAATTCGATGCGAAACTTAGTTATTCTGTATTCAGTGTTCGAAAGCGATGTGTAAATAGTGCGCACAACAGAGCAGCCAATCGCAGCGCACAGCACACGAAGCCAAGCGCTACGCCAGCGCTGATTGGCTGTCGCCGCCCGTATTGGCTGTGTATTCGCTGCCCATTGGATGCCAACACTGTTTGTCAACACAGACTGTCTGTGTGTTTGTCATAGCGTTTAGTGTTTGTGCTCTTCTTGCGAACCACTCGTGAGACCAGTTGTGGTGATCATAGTCTCAACGCGTGTCCACTCAAGTGTCAGCCAATGGGAGCGGAAGCGAGTCTTTTCAAGAAGTTGGCCATCGATTCGGAAGTGGAGTACAAATGCAAAGACTATTCACTTCTGAACGCAAAACACGATTCCAACAAATTCTCGGTCTTTCTCTTCAATGACAACAACTTCTCGTTTGATATTGCGGTCAGTATTTGGGACACACGTCGTGTCCGCACACGTCATGCCATTCATTGTCTTATCGTTGTTGTCATCTCCAGAACTGGAAGACGATTCGCCACCCGTTTATCGTCAAGTACTACGACTGCGGCCTCTTTCGGGGCCGTAAGTGTGTGGTCACCGAATGGGTCACTCCTATCACACCACTGGTCGACCGCATGAACAAAGAGATGATCGCCAGCGGTGTCCACAATATCATCAACAGTTTGGCGTTCATTCACAGCACGTGTCGATTGTCTGTCAATAATCTCAATTTGGACTCAATATTCGTGAGCCGTTCGGAGAGGACTGAGTCCTGGAAATTGGGTTCACTTTTGTGTCTCAGTTCCACCCAATCGGAGGACAGAGACTTCTGTCAACGGCTGTGGAGTTATCACCACTTCTTGGGAACGACCGACACATTGCCCGCCGAAGACATTGCGTCGGAACCGCAAATCCAATGCATCAAAAGTGAGGACCAAATACATCGGAGGGATGCCTACGCTTTGGGACTACTATTGCATCGACTGCTACCAGAGCTGCCGTCCTCGCAGACCATTGAGTGTATGGGAAGTAATAGTCCGGAGAAGAGACCGAATATGAGACGCGTTTTGGACGAGGATTTGTTTGTGAACTCAGAGTTCGTTAAAATGAAGTCATTTCTCACGTGTTTTGTATCCTTTACTGAGAGCCAGAAGAATGAATTCTTCACTGATTTTGTCGACAGAATGAGACAATTGTCGGATGAGTTAACCTTCAGCTTAATCTCACTTATAGTCAATTCTCGTCTAATTATGTCCAACACTGCAGTTCACGACCAGTTGTTGCCATTTATGTTGATTCCGGCCAACGATTCCGACGAAGAGATGCAATACGTGTTGACTTGTGGTGAGACCATTACTTTGAGGCCATTAATGAATAAAAAGGTTTTCAAGACACGAATGATTCCTCTCATATGTAAACTCTATTGTATCAGAGATTTGAGAATTCGTTCATTACTTTTGCAATATTTGCCAAATTATGCCTCATTTATATCCAACCCGTGTTTACGTCAATTAGTTTTACCCCAAATACTGATTGCTATGAAGGACTCCAACGACGAGTTGGTTTCCCTTACATTCAAAGCCATTTCGCACTTAATAACCATTTTTGGAGCAAATGTTGTTTTGGGTCCAAGACTTAAGCTCTTCACTAATGGTATTCCTAAACATAATTACGCTAACAATGAAGGCTCGGAAGTGGAATCGCTGGTCGGTTCCGATACTCCCGAGTCATTAATTGTTGATAAAAGTGATGTCAAAATTATTGCTCAAAATGGTTGGTCAGAGACCGACGGCTTGAGTGAGAGTAACGGGAAGACAAGTATTAGTGTCGAGACATTGGAGACACAGTCTGACAACAAGACTGATATGAATAAAGAAGTGGAAAAGCAATCAAATGGAGTGAAAGTGAAAACGATTGCCAAAAAGGATATTCCTTTAATTCGAAACGATTTCGATATAAAGGAATTGGATTTTAAGGTCGAAAACAATGAAATCGATGATTTGTTTTCAGATATGGAACCGGTTTTTAAATTCGGGAAAAAGCATTTAATTGCTGATCAGTTGATGGGTTTAACGGGCAATAAAAGTACTTCCGGTTTATTCGCAGCCAATGAAGAGTTGAGTGGAGAGATGGGTTGGACTGACGAGGGATGGGATAATGATTGGGATAAAGAGGATAAATGATAACCTTTTTTATTTATTTAGTATTTAAGTATAATTTTATATAATTAACAATGTATTTAAGAAATTATTATATATTTTTATTATATTGTTTATAATCAGATAATTTACTGCAATATTTCTTTCCTTTCAAATGATATTTGGTTTCTGAATAAGAATTCACATTTTCAATGATGTGTTTGTTTTGACATTAATTTATTTATAATGAATTTTAGAAAAAGTAATTTTATTTTTTGTTATACAAAATAATAAAAACTTGTCGATAAATATTGAACAATAAATATGTGATAAAAAAGCATAAGAAACAGAATTTATTTCAAACAAATTACTGTATTTGGTGTGTATTTTACTATTAAAGAGGTTCAAGTTTTTGTCCATCTCTTCCTTCCATGTCTTCGGTCTGTAGTGTTGTGTCCATAACTTGTCGACCGTCTGATCGTCCGGATCTGGTTCTTCACTCTCTGTCGTTGTCACCAAAACTGATGGCAACTTCTCAGCGCTTTTCTTCTTCCGACAACAACCACAACAGCATATATTACACAAAAGTCTTTGACATATATTTTGCTAGTCTTTCATTTGATCCAATTCTTTGTCTCCCAATTGTCTTTCGTGTCTTAATTTATTGACGGCTTTATCGGAGGCGCGCAAAGACTTTCCCTGTTGTTTGAGTTCATTGTAAGCGTCCGATTGTCGCTCTTTTGCGCTCCGAGTCGTCTCTAATATCCGTTTCTTAATCTCCTGTTGTTTCCTCTTATTGTCATTTATATCGGAAACGTTTTCATTAACTGTTTTATCCATTTCTTAAATAAAACTCAATTTTCAATAAATATATGAAAAGTGTTCAGAACTTTAATGTATAGAAATAGAAATTGTATAAAAATTTACAAAAACAAACCATATTTATTTCAGTTCAATTTAATTTGCAAATCTTATAAACTTTACAGTAATTGATATGAACTGAGACAACGGATTCTGGTATTATTTTGTACATAAAATCACTGAATATCTGTAAAAACTTTGCTTTATTTTCTTCTATTCTAATGCAAACATAAATACAACTGAATTTAATAATAAAAAATATTTGAATTAAAAATTTTATAAAACAATTTCTCGAGAAAACGATTGAATGAAATGTTTAGACATTAAGTTTCTGTAGTTGAGGCCAAACGACTCCTTCCGGACAACTCATAAATGCTCTTCTTTTTGGCCGCATCTCTGGTTTCCATTGCTGTCGATAAAGCCATTTCTTGGAAGAGATCCGCATAAATGTCTGGTATCTCTTTGTTTTCGCCTTTAATTGTTATAAATGTCATTTTAACGGAAGTTTTTCCTAAAATTTTTCTCTCAAATTCTATGAGTGATTTGAAGAAACCGGGGTTTGGTTGACACAACTCTCGACACTTATTACAATGAATGAACGCCTCTTTTAAAGTCATTTTCTGATATTTCACTAAATAAGCTGTCATTTGGTTTGAATCGAGTTATAAATGCAAATGCAATTAATTAAAGGGCTATTAATAAACAAATTGTTTTTATAAAACATACCCAAAACTAGAGAAGTAGAGCGACTTTTTCCGGCCACACAATGGACTATAGCTCTCCGATTTTTAGACACCACTTCATTCAGTTTGTCCGCCACTTCTTCCAAATAGAGAGAAATGTCGTCTTCGGGCGTGTCGTCGATCTAAACACATATTTTAAATAATTTCAAATCAATACAAAAAATGCTTATTAATTGCGAGTAATTATAATAGCAATGTATTGTATATACGGGAACTCTAATGCATTCGAGCCCTTTAACGTCATAATTGGGCACTTCATACGTGGCGTTAATAATGCATGAGATCCTGAGGCCCACTATATTCTCGCGTATCATACCTCCAGCGCCCGTCAGATACACATTGTCTGTGATCTTATCGACCACACTATACGGGGGCGAAAAAATCTCTACAACACCCTCTGGACTCTTGGCTTTAGCCATATCCTGTTGCGCTCTAGTCGTCAACTTCTTCACTGTCTGTATAGTGATGTCCGAGCGATGAAACGCTGTTTTAGTCATTTTCGACGCTTTGTACAGATTTGGATATTTCTTGGAATCAATTTTGCTGTCACTACTACAACAACTACTACAACAGCCCATCACTAATAGCCAGTTGTCTGCTAATTGAAGTCAATTTAAAGATTGCACACAATATACAAATACAACGCTTTTCTTTATTTAATACACTTCTCAGTCGACTTAATAGTTTCAATCCAACAATTATTGTCTGAATATAACGTATAATTTAAATTTAGTGTAATAATTAGTTGTAATGCATAATGAAATTTAAATTAATAACTGTAATGCAATTAATATCGAGAACAAATCTTAATTTTTACATTTTACTATTATTTTGAATAAATGCAACCATGATCGTTTTTAACACACTTCACGCGCTATTGTAGTCAATACAGAATATTTGCAATTCAGACAACGATTCGTGTATTAGTTGTCCAAACATTTCATACTTTGTTTTAATTTGAATTAAAACTAGTATTGAATGCATTGAGAAATAGTCGAACAAAACTACAGTTATTTTGAATCCATTGTTAAATGTTTAGAATTAATGTTACATTTCTAAACAATAGTGAATATCAGTCTCTAAACAATTGTTGTATTCATTGATTTTGTATTTACAGTAAATTTAATTGAATTTAAATTTGTTTAACGGTTTGTAAACAAAATCACAATTTTGTCACAAAACAAATCCAATTGATTGACAATATGTTTGACAAATGGTATGGTTTGGTCGCCGGAGTGTTGGTATGGGTTCTCGTATTTCTCGTCGTCTTCTATAAAGTGCTCGAAGACTGCATTTATCGACGAAAAGCCGCACAAAAGATAAATGACGACAAAAAGTTGTTAAATAAATATCTATTGAGTGTTGTGTTAAGCCATTCAATGGACAACTTTCAGATGAGAGGCAATGAAATCAAAATACTATTATTTGATTTGAATGACAAATCCGTGGAGTTTACCATTCAATTGAATAACTCGGAGATCAGGACTGATATCTGCGGCAAACAATACATCCGTTTATTCCTTACTCTCACGTCTTAATCAAAATACTATTATTTGATTTGAATGACAAATCCGTGGAGTTTACCATTCAATTGAATAACTCGGAGATCAGGACTGATATCTGCGGCAAACAATACATCCGTTTATTCCTTACTCTCACGTCTGACAAGAATTGGCCCTTAATTTTCACCAAATTGTCTGCCGTTCACAACAGCACTGGTATTCAATACTTGTTTTATATCTTGTTTTTGATTATTATAAAAATGTGTCACTTTTAGGGGTTATATTCATGGATGGCATTGAAATAGAGGACGAGTGGACGGGAAGGCGACTGTATTTCCCGATCCGAGAGTACATCAAAGGAAGAGATGAACTGAAAGACGCCAAAGAGATATCTGTGAAACGCCAACAGTTGAGACTCTTCTCGAAGCAAACTCTGTGTCCAAACTTCGAGAACCCATTAATACAAGAGACTGGAGAAGAAGTGACTGATTCTGGAAAGCGTGTGAATGCGGTGTCCATTAAACCGAGACTTGATTTGTTTGAAGTGTCGCTGTTTTACGCACTTCTATTTAATTTGACATTTTTTGCCAACTATTTGATGGTATTCTTAGGCGTGAATTCAAAGCCCGATTCAATTCTACAATATATCACATATTTTGGAGGTCTGGCTGCGACTGGTTTGTTGTCTTTCGTCATAACGGATACCATTGCCTACGTTTACGTCCGTTATATCAAAACATATCGCAAACCGAAAACCAAACCACCGGTTAATACGGACTGTTTCTGGGCTTTCGTGCGAGTCTTGTATCTGATGTCTGTCTTCGTTGTGGCCATCATTTCATCGATTGGCACACAATTACTGTTTGCATTTAACAACATTACTTCACCGATTGAGGACCTAATGCCCGGAAACTATAGCGGAGTTTACGCTTTGATAATAATTATCGGCGTTTTCATGATTGGTCTTATAATTCAGTTTACGATTTGGATCTCATTTTTAGCTCTTATAAAATACTTCTTCCTTTTGATGTTTTTCGGTCAAAACTATACACATATGGAAGACAGCAGTTATATGACGGACACCACTACTGAACCCAAAGATGTTGAGCGAAGGGAAAAACAGGAAGTGATTAAAGGCAGCGCAACCGTTAAGACCGACAAAAAGCCCAAAACACCGGTTAAACTGAACGCCGAGACGAAGTCTAAACTCGTAAAGTTTGGAGTCCATAGACTCGACAAAGAGCTCGAGGATAAGGAGAGGATCGAGCGGTTGAGCGGCAAAAGTCTCATTCATCCGATTACTAAATCCAAAGGATATATAGATCCAGAATCTCTTCGCGACAAACCCTAAGCCAATCGTTTTCTCACATTTATTTATTTTATTTTGTGTTTTATTTTGAATTAAATTGTATTATAGTTTTTGATTGAATTAATTAATAAATATCTTTTGTTAAACAAGTTTTAGTCATTTCAAAAGTTATGAACAATTAGTTTAGAACAAAACTTTTCGATTGTGTTTTGCGTTAATTTATTTGTAATGAACGGAGAAATTATTTTTATTTTTGACAATAAAATAATACATAAAACAAGAGAATAAGTATTTTATAAATTAATTTGCGATAAAGACATCAGAAACAAGAATGTAATTTATTTGTAGCAAACTATTGAATGTATTAAAAGTCTACAAATAAAGGAAAGTCACGGCCAATAAGTTTAAGATACGTATAAATTGCATCCCATATTTGAATCGTTAGTATTTGAATGCAAATGATATGAATGTAGAAGAGTTGGACAAATTGTAAAAACCATTTAAACAATATAATGGACACCAAACCGGCCGAGAGATACATCAGTAATGTCTTGCATAAAAAGAACCAAAAGAAATGCATTTTCCATCCAAACACTGACTTTAGTAACGCTTTCACACAGAGTAACAAACATTGACACAAACCGTGAAGAATAATCATATTATTGACGGTCATAAAGATTCCTCTGACGTGCGATATTTGCCAACCAATTGTCTGTCCAATCAATTGATTTGCTTTCAATTCTTCGTAAATGACGATATAATTAATACACGTGTAGATTATGGTGAAGATTATCATTCGCTTATTCAATGAACTGAATGTTCTCTTATAATCCATTTCCTGATAATGCCTTCAATCGAGTGATAAGTTGTTTAAAGTTTAAAAATGAATTATTTTTACTTAAAAACTAATGCAATAAAACATCGATTCGACTCCAAGTTGTGAATTACATTCAATCACTTAATGCACGAGACATACAATCATTAACTGTAAAATCAAATCATACAAATCATTGTCAATGCAATGTATTATTTAAAAATGTTGATTTAATTTTAAGTTGAATTTTATATGAACGATAAGTTTAAAGTATAAGTTTTAATGGCATTTTATATTTTGACAATCAATTGATTAATTAGAAGTAAATTTTTAAATAATTTTTATTAATAATAACATAAAGTGTTGTAAAGTTATATTAAAACATAAGATACAGAATTTGTTTTACAAATTTGTCAAAAGATATCTAAACTGTTGAATGAGTGAATCAATAGAATTCAAGCGATGATAAGTCAAAGCCCATGAGATTCATAGAAGTAAAGATTGATTCTGTTATTTGAATCATTAGTATTTGAATAATTTGTCAAAAGATATCTAAACTGTTGAATGAGTGAATCAATAGAATTCAAGCGATGATAAGTCAAAGCCCATGAGATTCATAGAAGTAAAGATTGATTCTGTTATTTGAATCATTAGTATTTGAATGCAAACGATATGAATGTAGAAAAGTTGTGCAAATTCTGGATTCCATACAAACAATGAGATGGAGACGAATGTGACGGACAGTAAGCAGAGTATGTTTGCGGACAACACGTACCAGAAGTAATATATTTTCCATCCAAACACTGACTTCAATAACGCTCTCAAACACAGTATGAGATAATAACACAAACCAAAGATAATCATTAGACTATTGATGGCGAATAAGATGCCTCTAAAGTGCCATATCTGCCACCGACTCGTCTGTTCATACAATCGATCTCTCAATTCTTCGTGAATGACAACAAAATTAACAGATGTGTAAACCATAGCCATTAATATCGACCGCTTATCCAGTGCTGCAAATCGTCTCTCGTAATTCATCGTTTCGATAAGAATCGCTTCAATGCAGTGATAATTGTCTTAATTTTACGAATCAATCAAACATTTTATCACAAAAAAGTTTTACCAAAACTATTCCACTCTAAGCTAACAGTTAGTGTAATTCACGAGACATACAGTTCATGTCATACTTATAGTTATGTGTAATTGAATGCATTTTCAAGCCTATAGTGTTGACCAGATTGTGGTATAAGAAGTATTAAACCCGAAATACCGGTCATCACAATAATGTAATCATTGTTCAGAATCTAAACTTCAGATTGTGTCAGAATATTCTGTGCCATTCATAATGTATGGCAATGTATGCCAGTATTGCAATACTATTGCCCCCTATTGTGAAGCCAGTGTTTGTGTGTGTATTGCAGTTGTATTGCAGTTGTCGTCCACTCATATCACATGTGTTTCACTGTTTCTCGTGTTTTCAAAAGGCATTGCATTTGTTGTGTATTTTTGTCTTACATTTGATTTTGATTTACAATTAAAAGCAATTGTATTGTATTGCAGTTGTCGTCCACTCATATCACATGTGTTTCACTGTTTCTCGTGTTTTCAAAAGGCATTGCATTTGTTGTGTATTTTTGTCTTACATTTGATTTTGATTTACAATTAAAAGCAATTGTAAAATGAGTTTAAAGTTAAATGCATTGCAATATTGTCTGCAAAATGACATCAAATTGTGTGCCAAATGTTTGCTTAGATTTGGTTTCATTAAAAACTTCAACTCTTATAAGAAGTCAAACATTGATTTGTTGAATGAATTCATTTCACCCGCGGATCAGTTGAGTGACAAATACAGNTTAAAAGCAATTGTAAAATGAGTTTAAAGTTAAATGCATTGCAATATTGTCTGCAAAATGACATCAAATTGTGTGCCAAATGTTTGCTTAGATTTGGTTTCATTAAAAACTTCAACTCTTATAAGAAGTCAAACATTGATTTGTTGAATGAATTCATTTCACCCGCGGATCAGTTGAGTGACAAATACAGACAAGTGATGGACAGTCGACGAGTTTGCAGCTCGTGTTTGGATCTATTAAGTGATGAGTATTGCGATGATATTGTGGACAAAGTGGTACACTATCTGTACAGCGAGTCGTGTCAACACTCGTACCACTCTTTTCAGTTGTTGATATCGGTTCCGGTGGCCATCACTTTGAGGAATCAGTTGATTATACAGAAGATACAAGACTTTTATTACAATAAGACTAATGGCGTGAACGGAGAGACTCAAGACAGTGACCATCAGTCGTACCGAGAGTTGGATTTGTCGACAGTATATGCCGTGAAAGACATCCTAAGAGTGATTCTCACGGATGCGTTGGAGAAGCGATTAGCGGACAAGACGTTTGACATCAACTCTACGTTTAATATCTCTCTCGACTTCGGCTACAAAGACAGCGACACTGAGTGTCAGCTCTTCTATAATTTGACACCAAAAGCATTCTTCCCGAAGAAGTGCCGCAAATCGGACACAAAATCATTCCTCAATCAGACATCCATATTAAGAGCGATGAAAGTGATGGACAAAGACGTGCTCCACGAGTGGCCAATCACTGGCCCTAAAGTGAACTGTGATTTACAGTCAATTAAAGTGACAAATAATGCCATTTATATCGCCGGCCGATACCAGAAGTATAGCCGACGTCTATCGCAGACGCCGTGGCTTCTGGACGGCGAGCGACTTATGGAAGGCAGTGTTCAGGACATCATTCAAGAGGGGGTCCAACAAGTGATTCGTTGCGATCAAATCAAGTTTAGCGCTTCCGGTCGTGAAGACGTCGACGTCCGGATGTTAGGTCGCGGACGGCCTTTCATTCTCGAAGTATGCAATCCAAGAGTGATCGCAGTGTCGGGCAAACAGTTCCAACAGATAACGACTGCCATTAATGTCAAGCAAACCGATGTCGGCGTAAGAGATCTGCAAATAGTGTCTAAAAACGACATCCAATTGCTTAAAGAGGGCGAAAATGAGAAAACAAAA